TTCTGAACTCCAAGGCCAAACTTCCCTGTTGTTCCTTTTATCTCTTGACTCCCTACTTTGCATTCTAGTCCCCTATAATGACAAAAACATTAGTTTTTAGTGTCAGTTCTGGAAGGTGTTGTAAGTCTTCACAGAACTGGTCAATTTCAGCTTCTTCAGCATCGGTGGTTGGTGCCTAAACTTGGATTACTGTGATGTTGAAAGGTCTGCCTTGGATTCGTATTGAAATCATTCTATCATTTTTGAGATTGTATCCCAGTACAGCTTTTCCCACTCTTTTGTTGACTATGAGGTCTACTCCATTTCTTCTGTGGGATTCTTGCCCACAATAGTAGTTATGATAATCATCTGAATTGAATTCGCCCATTCCCGTCCCGTTCACGGATGCTCAGGATGTCACTGTTTATTCTTGCCATCTCCTGTTTGACCACATCCAGTTTCCCAAGGTTCATAGATCTTATATTCCAGGTTCCTATGCAGTAGTTTTCCTTTCCAGCATCGGACTTTCCTTTCACTTCCTATTGTACTACTGACCTCTAATTGAAAAGATTTCAGGGCAGTAATGTCTATGCATGTGTTAACACAATAACAAAAGTATTCCAAAGCAAATGGCACACATATTGTACCTACCTGAGGAATGGTGTGCACTAGTTGAATAAATAGTGTGTGGTTGATTCTAGTGGATGCTAATTTTGTCACAACAAAGAAATCCTTATCCTCCATTTGAATGGAAAGTTTTCCTTCTGCTTCTTTTGTAGCATAATTTATCTTAGGGGGGAAAAGGAATAAATAAAAGGAAGATCTTTTTTTAAAAAAATGTGGTGGCCTTCAGAATTTTTCTGTCGTATCATAATTATATCAGCATCAGTAAGACAGCACCTGCAATGCTGTGTCTCCTTCTGATGCTAAAAGAGATATGTCCCACCAGCAAACAGGAGAAAAGACAGACATTTCCATAATACTTGTATATATTGATCAAAACATTTATAAGAGAGCAGCTGTTGATATTAAATGTAAATTATTTGCCCTTCATAAATTAAAAAGTTGGACACTATTCTGAAAGGCATTTTATCCTTCCTCCAAATACACACATACTTATGTGTGTGTATTTGTGGTGGGTTTTTTATTTTTTATTTTTTAATGCTATGATTGATAGCTTCCCAGAAGACTCCTGTCATCTTTCACGTGGATGGCATAATCTTTCAGTTAGAATTTTAGAGACACCATTCTGGGAGACTAGACCAGTCAGAGTTTCAAACCAAACCGGTGCTTCTATTTTGATGATCAATCAACTTAACTTGCAAACCACAGGAGGTGAAAAAACTCATCCTGTGACAATCAGATGTTTTCCCACGGAAGCAATTCCCTCTACAAACATGCTCTTTGTAATGTATATTACACACTCTTAGACTGGTCGCCATCCTGATCATTTAGCAGATGTTGTGAGGCTAAATGTGATTCTCATTAGGAACAATTACCTTTGAGAAAACTTCAGCCATGTTTGGAAAATACTGAAGGAGAAAAGGCAGATTCTGAAGAGATTTCACATGCAGTTCAGCACTGGGGGGAAAGTGAAAATTTTTTTGATTAAGCCATTCCTGCTATTTCTGCTATGCACCACTGCTACTTATGCTCAATTCTGTTTGCATCCTACCTGCTTTGCATTATGTCAACTTTGGTGAATGTTTCTCTGCCTTACTATCTTTATGAGTCTCCTTTTGAGTCCCCTCTGCACTTGGGAGATTAGACATTTGAATGGAATGTTTAGGATCTCTCATTTATTTTCAGAATGAACAGCCTTCCATTCACCTTATTCTGAACTTTACATAAATATTAGCACCAACAACAGTCTTCCTGTTCTCTCAGATGGGCAGAGACACAGAGAGAAATAAATACTTTGGCAACAGGTGGGAATTTTTACTGGAACTGTGTTTTGTGGGGAAAGAGTAAAAGAATCAGCTTCCTTAAGCCTGTACAATACATATCCATTTGTTATTGTACCTCCCTACCCCCAATATGGCTTCTATTTTTGAGATAAAAAATGTTGGAGAAAATAACAATTGCATATGCAACCTAACATAGGATTTCAGTGCAATGGGACTTCACAGCCCAACATGATTTTGTCTTGCCATTATTAACCTATTAGCAAAGTCTTCTTTCCTAGGTTTGAAGCAAGCCCGTGCCCCTTTTCCTGTTTGTTTGCTTCTGTTTTGTTTGCTCTCTTTCCTATTGGCTTTTGACCTAAGCGGACATGCAAACTCTGCTCCAGACCTCTGACCATGCAGACAGCATGGTGGATTTCAGTTTCCCAGCATGTTTGAGACTGCAATTTCTTGCATTATCCTTTTAATTCTTCTGATCATAACCTTAGTTTCACAACTGTAGTTTTTTTCTACTTATGCTAATTGTAGAGTGATTTTGATATACAAAGGGTTAGTCACTGTCAGAACAAAAAGGCCTGTGTAGAAGCCGGAACTCTTAGCTATTCTCCTTCAAATTTCCCCTGTGCTGCAGTTGGCTTTTATACTTTATGCTCTGTTAACTAAAAGAAATAAGCAAAAAAATCCTCTAATAAAAATAAGTTTCTAATGATGTGCTAACTGTATCATGCCATTTGCCTCAAGGTAAATGTCTCTAATATTCCTCCACAAAGTCTTGGCTAATGACCATGCTCTTACCCTTGCCATTTGTTTTTGGCAATGAAAGTGAGCCAGAGGCTTAAGTTTGGGTCACCAGTCAGTCTCAGGGATGCTTCTGTTTCGTTTTCAGAGAGACTCTCCAGGAGTGTCAGCTGAAGGAATAATCAAAAAGAAAGAGAAACAATGCTTTGAACATGTTTGGATGGACAACTGTTTGGTGCCAATAGGGGAGAAACAGCAGGAGAAAGATTTCCAGAGGTACATGTTTGGCTATAGAGGAAAGTAGGATGCTGAAACAGGTGGACTTTTGCTCTGATCCAGCAGTTCTGCTTCTGAAGCCACAATAACTTAAAAGAACCTCCATATTTACACATAATATACCATGGAGTATTGCTTTCAAGACACTGAAATAGATGATCCTTTCAAGGTCCTTCTGGTAAAGCTTTTCTCGTCTTACAAATGTACATTTTGTTTTAAATTTCATGTATTCTGCACTTAATCTTGCCTTAACAGCATTTACACCTATGTCCCGTTCACTTCCCATGAAGCTCCATAGGAGTTTTAAGAGTCACACTTCTTGCTCTCTTCTTTTTTAAAAACTGTGTTACATGATTATACAGATGATGACAATGATGATTAGTAATTAACCATAATAACAGAAATAATAACCAAAGACAAAATAAAAGAAACAATAACCACAGGAATACCTCTCCTGGATGGCCTCTCACCTCCCAACGTAACCCGTCACTATCTTCCTAACAACATTTTTTTTTAAAGATTGAAATGGCTAATGAAAGTGGGAAATTGATACATATACTGTACAGGGAAACCAAATTTCAACAGAATTACAACTTGGATGGGCTAAATTCTCTGTTCATCCCAGCTAGAGCAGACCCACAGAAAGGTATAGGGCTTCTTCATCACAACAGATGTAAGTTCCATTGATGTCTATTCTGATCAGATTACCCTAATATAGCTATCATGTATTTGTCAACCAGTCTTAGATTAAAACCACAACGATCACAGGCAAAGACCACACATACCTGGATGGCTTCTGGGATATATGATTGTATCAGCCAGGACCAACTGTGATGCAAGATCCCATTAAAATCAGTTGTCCCTGCAGTGTTTTGCATTTGTCCTTCCACAGTTGTCCAGTACAAACCATACAGAAGTTTCATGGTTAGATTCTGGACATCCAGTAGCATCACAGCAACCTGTGTGTGGTTATATTCATGGCTAGAGATGGGGATCATCAAGGCTGAGGAACTATGGACTATGAATTAACTAATGTTTTACTGACAAACCATGAATCGGTTTGTTGGTGCATGTTTCATTTTTTTTAGACAGCCCATAGCTATCTGAAAAAAAAGCGGAGTCCCCCACCCNNNAGCCCCCCCCCCCCACAGCCTGCCCCCCCCCCCTTCCCGCCTCCCTAGCTTGTCCTGCTGCCATTGCCACCACCTCCACCTCTGTGCTGCCACTTCCGTCACAGCTGCCATCTTTGCAGACAGTAGCGGTGGCTTCTGTCCTGGCAACCTAGCCTTTCCTCTCTGCCCATGGACCCACCAATCAGCTGTTTGGCGGGTGCATCAGCAGAGAGGGAAGGCTAGGCTGCCCGAATGGAAGCTACCGTTCTAGCAGCCTAGCCTTGGGATAAATTAGAAACTGCTAAATATTTATCCATTCATATTTGTCGGGGTCTCCAGAACTGATCAATACAAAGTGACAAATATTTGATGAATAAGCAATTTTCTACAAATCTTGCAATTCAATGATTTGGAAGTGTCCAAGATGGACAGCAGAGGAACAGGGTGGGCTGAGCAACCTATAAATAGTTCCAAAAGTTCTGAGGTTCCTTGGGGGAATTATGTGGGACTCTTATCTCTAAGAAAGGAGGAATTCTGCTTAGGAGTCAGAAGAGGAGGGTGAGCTAAAAACATTTGCGTAATTTACTTTTTTCGACCACAGTTCCCGGAATCCCCTGCCAGCATGACCATAGCTATGACTGGCACCACAGGCCAAAAAGCAACTTTTCTGAGCTTTGAATATATGTGCATTATACTTACTTACGGCATACAAAGAAGTGTTTCTATTGGAACCCATTACCTTGGGAGGTGGGGAGCGCTCCAATGCTGGAGGCATTCAGGAGATAATTGGAACACCACCTGTTAGATCTGCTTTGATTTAGATTCCTGCATCAAGCAGGGGGTTGGATTTGATGGCCTCATAGACTCCTTCGAACTCCGTGATTCTATGACTCTATTAAACAAAACTCTATACAAAAACTCCTATCTTAGACCATCAGGCAAAAAAAAGCACACCAAACAAAAACAAAAACAAAACAAAGACAAAATCGGAACACCACCTGTCAGATCTGCTTTGATTTAGATTCCTGCATCAAGCAGGGGGTTGGATTTGATGGCCTCATAGACTCCTTCGAACTCCGTGATTCTATGACTCTATTAAACAAAACTCTATACAAAAACTCCTATCTTAGACCATCAGGCAAAAAAAAGCACACCAAACAAAAACAAAAACAAAACAAAGACAAAATGATTGTGGCATCTTAAATACTAACTGAAATATATATTTTATAGCAGTTTTATTTTCCTCAGTCTGAGGAAGTAGATGTGTCCACTTCTACTTGTCTTAAATATATAGCAGCTAGTCTTTAATGTACCACAATGTTTTTGTCTTCTTTATACTGTTATTTTTCTTTTGCTTTTGCTGGATATGTTAGCACAGATTAACACAGCTACCTCTTTTGTCTTAGGCTGCAGTCACACCAGATAAATGTTCCCCTGTTTTAACAATACTTTCCATACCTTTGTTGTACTGAACTGCAACCTTTTACTTGATTTATTTATTTATTTTTAATAACAAGATGTCAGTATGTTGAGTATGGGTTCTTGTTCGGTAAAATCTCCTCTCTTTTGTCAGTGCCTCTGGAAGGATGGCATTACACTCAGCAGACCCAGGACCCCAATCCAGGGCTCTGTTGCTTGCCAGATAGCAACACCTACCAATGCCCTGGCATACCTGGCCATTGAGATACGCTTACCTACATGTCGACATACCAGTCATGAAAAAAAATTAAAAATGTTACAGCATAGCAGCCGCATGGCAGTAATGGTGGCGCCCTTCCCCAGTGACTTGGCTTTGGAAAAGAATCAATAGGGTTGTGCACACAAAGGAATACATCAAAACACCATTGGAGCAAAATAACAGAAGCCTCCCAGTGAGGGGGAAATAAATCGCAGTTATACCACTGGCCAGGTAAATGGTTTGATAATGGCCATGTGTCATGTGACCGGAAAATTCCACAGTGAACTAACAGGGGTATAACTAGGGAACATTTGCCTTATGATTTTGTACCCTGAGGGGGGGCTTATGAATTTTCACATTGATTTTTTTTAATTCTTAAAGGATGACCTAAATAAATAAATAACATTAACAACAACAACAACAACAACAACAACAACAACAACAACAACAACAACAACGATGCTGATGCTGATGATGATTATGATGATGATTATGAATTGGAGAGAAACTGAAATTGATATATTTGCGCATTTCCTGGGAGCCCTGTATCTTCTGAACAAGCATGTCTAGAAATAACACACATGCCTACCTGAAGCTCTATTGTGTCCTGTATCCACAGTGCCTGCAAGGCCTCCAAATTGTGTGTGAGCTTATAGTCAAGAGAGACCTGGTTGGCCTTCGCTGTGAAGCTGAGTTCTTCTTTGACCTGTTTGTTTGTTGGCAGAGTGGAAGAGAAGAAGTGTATTCATATGGATTGTGTGGCTTTTACTGAAATAAGAAGTCAGCTAGAATAGAAAAGTGTTCACAGTTAATGCAAGGAGCTTTGATGCATTCATTCCCTGGCATCCCCAGGGAGAAATGCTGGACAGTTTCAAGCAGCCAGAGTTTATAAGCCCTGGAGCAGACCATCTAAGGCTGCATCCTAGTTTCCACAAACTTGGGACAGAAAATCTCCTTCAATGAAAAAGAGAAAAAGAATTCTTCCCCAAAAGTGAACAGCAGCCAGAATAAAGGGAGAGGTGATTACCTGCTTTCCATCCATAGTGAACTGAAGCAGCCTTTTCTGAATGGGACCTCTCTTTTCTGAAACTATATCTACCTCTGTCCTTTCAGGGATGCCAAGGCGGATGCTTCCTTTCACATTCTGGGTCAACAAAGCATGCAACTCTTCTCTGTTCTGCCCAAAATGAGATTGAAGGAGAGGCCAATCAGGTGGACATTAGAAGAAAATCCAAAAGAAATGAAACAAAAACAAAAGAGAGAGAGAGAGAAATGAAGCACCTTAATCTCAAGATTAGACCACTGTAATGCGCTCTGCATGGGGCTTCGCACCGCCTTTTTTCACCTCAGGCGGATAGCCCAGCTGCGGCCCTACCTGGATGTGGGGGCGCTCACCATCTTAGTACACGCGCTCGTAATCTCAAGATTAGACCACTGTAATGCGCTCTACGTGGGGCTTCCTTTGAGGTTGCTGCGGAAATTACAGGTGGTGCAGAATGCGGCGGCCAGATTA